TATATATATATATATATACACACAGTTATGGTCCCCGAATCATACGTTTTGGTTCATTCCATTTAGACTCCCATCATCAGAGAGAAATAAATGAACGTGTTAAACTGGAAGACTAAAACCGTAGGATTCATCCATCGCGACAACTATGTCTGATCCAGGTACGCTTCCGCTTTGTTTCACAAATTCTCGATGATCCAATATGAACGATCATTATGACAGTAAATAATTTTTCCAATAAGTGGTATCAGAGCCTATTCATGTTGAATAATTGAGAATCGAAATTTTAATTTGATTCTTGATAGTTTCATGATTTTCAAATTTAACGATTCATGTTTTAATTTTGTTAAATTTGAAAATTATTCAGTCGGTTTTTCAAGATTTTTTAGTTCGTTTTTTTTTTTTTATTTGGGGCAGCGCCGCCGCTGGATAGCATCGTGCGAGTTGCATGGTAGAAACAACAGCCGACAGCATCGGGCTGCTACGATTTTCTGCAACGGTAAGCACTACCTTGAGTTTGGGGACAGCTCGGGATCTTCATCACAATAAAAAAAATTAAGGTTTGGTGAATTGATGAGTGAGTAAATACATCGATTACTCTTCTAAACTCTTCTGCAGACACAGTCATAAATAAAGTATGAATCTATTTACTATTCCAGTTGCAATCAGCAACTTGGTCTTTGGTCCAAAGAGAAATATCAGTGGGTATAACAACACTGCAACAGTGGATGAAGGTGCAGTCCAACCATTTTGTACACTGATCCAAATACGCTCATCCAATGCTTTAAGAAATACTCTCATTAAGACTTTCCAATAAGTATAGTTGTTTTCGTATAAAAAACGGATGCAAGGATAGAGACTGACTCATCTAGATAATTTAAGGGTCAGGAATTGAAATGTGGCTCTGATACCACTTGAAATAACGTGGTTTGACCCAAACTACAGATAGAGTTGATGAATGGTGATTATGCAGAATTAAAACTTAATTATTAATTAACAACAAGTCACTATTAATCATCTCTAGATGGTTAATCAAACAGCCTCGTTTTCCTATGTTGAAATACCGCAGTTATATGAAAGTAATAAATAAACACCAGGAATGATCACGGAGAAGTCCCAATTAGGTAAAAACTTCGGGCACTTTACCAGTCAACAATCAACTATAAACAAATTAGAATTTACAGTCCGCCATACTCGACTACTATTAGTATTTTCTGATCTCCTGACTGCAATTCTCACAGCTCCCTTGGATTACGTGCTCCTGCGCCAACTCTCAACTACAGTTTTTCAAAGCTCTCCTGGATTTCGCGCTCTTACACCAACTCCCAGTTTTATGAATTCGTCCATCTCCTATGGATTAAAGAAGAACTCCGTGTTCTCCAACAACTGAAACTCCAATCACTTTCCCTTGATCTTCAGTACTCTGACAAATGTAGGAAGTAGCAATTTGGTATTTGGATTAAAGAAAACAATCAATGAAGGTTGAAAGTTATGGATGGAAAGAATATGAAGTAATCAATGTTTTATCAATGTTCAACCTTAAGAAAAGACGTTCAAAGGTGTTCTGGTATTTATACTGTAGGTTTAGGAATGAATTGGTCGGATAAAAATCCTTAAAACGCAAAATTGAGATTCTACGGATAACTCTGTCGCTAGAGCGAAAGCTGGGCGACAGACGAGTGACTGTATGCCGCTCGAGCGAAGGCCAGGTGATAGGATAACGACAATATTTATGTTTTTGCCGCTCGAGCAAGTCATGACGACAGTCTAGCAAAATTGTGGCACCATTTTTCCTTCTTTTCCATTCTCTAACTCTAGACCTAATACAACTCAATTTATAATATTTGCAACTTACTCCTTGACTTTTACAACACATTAAATCTAGTCCATTTTATTCACATATTTGCCAAAAAACTAAAAAATGCAAATTTACTTTTGAGAAGAACCATATTTATAACTGAGGGGGCAGATCAAATTATCCAAAGATACGTACCTAAAGAAGAGATGAAATCAATATTGGTACGAGTCTACAGCTTCAGCATATGGTGGTCACTTCGGTCATATAAAATAGTCACGAAGGTGCTTCAATGTGGTTTTTACTTGCCAACGTTGTTTAATGATGCTCGCAGTTTTTCCAGGTCATGTGTCCAATGCCAATGTACAGTAATAAACCAGCCCGACATAATATGCTCTTGAACAACATTTTTCAGGTTGAGTTGTTTGATATTTTGGAAATTGACTTCATGGGTCTGTTGTTCCATCTTACTCGAATATATATACATATATATGTGTGTGTGTGGTTGTTGGCTTTCTAACAAAATATAAATTCAGAAGATATGGATCGCCTCAAGCCATTATTAGCGATGGCCCAACACAATCACTTATCTAAGATAGTGCTACATAAATATTGTGTGCAACATTGTTTGGCCACTTTTACCACCCTCAAACAAGTGGACACGTCGAGACATCTAACACGCTGTCGAAGTGGATCATGGAATGGTAAACTCATTGTTCGGACAATTTTCGCAAGCATATGGGATCGTTTCAAAGTAATAGATTTGATGAGTTACGAGTATCATCCAACATGAAATAAACTTTAAATTGAGTTTGTCAATTTGTTAATAAATTCAAAATATGTAACAAAAGATTTATATCTAAATTTTTATTCTACTAGTTATCTAAGATGCTTATGTTAAAAAACTGAATCCACTTATTATTATTCGTTTCTTTGTTTATTACTTGTCATTTCAGCTTTTATTTTATTTTTTATGCTTATTTATTTATTTATTCTCAATTCTCCATTCCTAAATTCAACACTTTGCAAATTCTCTAACTTATGTTTATAGTCTTTGACTGTAATGCTAACATGTGATGATCTTTACGCATTCAGAGACAATAAAAGTTTATCTTATGATATTATGAATTTTGAGGTAAACATTGTTCTGACATATATCTATTGATGCTATTAGTTATTTGAAAGCGCTTATTTTATTTTTTAAAATATATAGAGAAACTATATTTGAATACGATATGACTACTAAAGAAATTGCTTTTCAAATTGAATTCGAACCTACATTTCATAAAAAAGTATGTTATTTATAGAAAGAAGCACCCTGATAAAAATATAAATAATAAGATGACACATAAAAAGTTTTGAACAATTTCAAAAATATAAAAATAATTCCAAAATTCTGTTTGATTTTAAAAAATTGCAGACTATGGCCCTATTTGGAAGTGATTTTGATTTTTCTACAGTAAATCAATTCTCATTTTCAACCGCACATTCTTCAATAAAATAATATTTTTCATCACATCAATAATTTTTTCTTCTTTTTCAACCACACATTTCCCATCATATCACTATTCAAAATCAATTCTTCCCTCAAAAATCCCTCTCAAACAAGCTCATATATGATAATTGTTTGGAGTGTTAGTATTTTAAGGTTGAAGAATTTTTGAAACAGAATAGGGATTCCCATATTGATGGAGAGGAGTTATTTTTTGAGCTACAAATTTTAGAAACTGTTTGACAAAAAAACCCAAAAACGTGATTGAAGTGTTAACTATATAAAAATGATGAATTATTATTTTTCAAATGTATCGATTGCTTATAAAATATTATTGACTATACCAGGTATATATCAAAAAGAGCTTTGCAAAATTGAAGTTGATAAAGTTCTACATTTAGTCAACAATTTCGCAGGGAAAGTTGAAAGGATTGACCATATTGTCTATTACTATAAAAAAAAAAAAATTATATAAGAGTAAATATAATTTAGACAATTGAAAAATTCTTATATTGTTTTTGTAACTTTGTATATTTTTTATTAAATAAAAATATTATTAATTATTATTATATATTTTTTAAAATATTAATATGAACCCCATATTTGAAGTTTGCCTAAGACCCTGAAAATCTCGGGGTTGGCTGTTGGCCTGATTTAACCATATAATATATACACTGTTCATGTAATCTTCTCCTTTCTTTTTTCTTGATCTTTTGGGGGGCGGTGGAAAGGGTGGGAGAATGTTTAGGAAGACTTATACCAAGGTTTATTACAATAGTATAGACCACATTCAAACCAAAGTAGATTACAATCGACAATTTCTTTTTCTTCATACTTTCACCATTGACATAACAAGTAACCTAGGAAAAGGAAAAAGAAACCATAACGTTGGAAACACTATAACATGTATAAACATGAGCCTTTAGGACAATCTCTTGCTAATCTTAACCTTTAATCCATGCTTCATGTAGAGGATGACAGAACAATTGGGGGATATTTTATGCCCTTCGATCACCTCGACATTGTAATTATGGATTATTGTAGCGGCAACAGCCTTTATCTCTGTGAAAGCCACTTCTTTCCCGAGGCAAGTCCTTGGACCAGCATTGAATGCCAAGAACTTGTAGGAGGGCTCATGCTTGATCGTCCCGCGTTCAGAAATCCACCTCTCGGGCTTGAATTCGAGGCAATCCTTTCCCCAAATTGTCTCCATTCTCCCCATTGCATACAAAGAGAACATCACCTTCATTTTTGGATGAACATAATGGCCACTTGGAAGGATATCTGCCTGCAGAGGCTCCTTGTGCTGAAATGGAACTGGTGGATACAGCCTTAAGGATTCACAGATTGCTGCATGCATGTAAACCAGCTTGCCAAGTTCTTGAACTTGAAAAATTCTCTTTTTTCCGGCTTCTTCTGCTGGTATAGCTGATATGAGTTCATCTCTGATCTTTCTTTCCACTTCTGGATGGGTAGAGACGAGCCACAGAAACCACGTGAGGGCAGAGCTAGTCGTGTCTCGGCCCGCAATCATTAAATTTAGTATGGTGTCCCTTAAGAACTTGTCGTTTCGTTTCACATCTTGGTTGTCATGCTCTTCAGTACTGATGTAAGATGTTAGCAAATCAGCAGCACAATTTTCATCATTTCTTGATTTCAATTCATCCCTCTTCATTGATATGTATTTTCCTATGATTTTGTCCAAGACTTCCCTAGCTTTCCTTAATTTCCTTTCTGCGCCGAACCCGAATATCCTTTGAAATTTCCATAGGCTTTCAGGCAAAACGTGTCTCACGAAAATTGCTTCTTCAGCATCATCCATGGCTTTTGAAAATCGAACTTCTGGGAATTCAGTAGATAAACATCCAGGATCATAACCTGTGACCAAAATACACGTTGTATCAAAGGTCAATCTTTGAAACAAATCCTGCAAATCAGTCACTCGGCTATTCTCGCACACACTTTCAAAAACTGGGATTAGGCATTTTTCCACCTCTTCGTGTAGCGTTTTCACCAAGAACTGATTAAAACGTTGATGATTAATCAACGTGTGCGTGATTTTTCTCTGATTCTTCCATGAATCCGAGTCGGAATTAAAAATTCCATCTCCCAAAATATCAAAAATTTCTTTGAATTTAGGCCCTTTTGGAAAGTTCTGAAAATTGGCACTCATGATATAGTGCACATTGGCAGGATTAACAGTTGCCAGCATTTCCATGTTAACAAACCAGGGATTGAACCTAAAAGTACCTCTCTTAGTTGCCCTCAAAACCTCAGTGCAAAAATCGTGAATCCTTCCAACTTTATACAAAAGCACTGGCAGCATCCCGAACGCTGGCCAGTTCCCGACAAGCACCTCATACTTCCGAAACCCCCAAAGACAAAGGAACCATAGGATTGCTAAGCAAACCTCAAAATACCCCACTGTTGCCATTTCACGAGAAATGAGTCGAATCCTAGGTGTAGAAATATAAGAAGGTGAACTTTGATAGAATCAACCTGAACAAACAAATTGTTGAAATGGTGCACTCTAAACCAGCATTATATATTTGTATATGAATACTTATTTATTAACATAGATGAACAGCAATAAGTATTTTCTCATCCCATCTATTAACTACCACCAAATTACTGATGCAATTGGCCATATGTTCCCAATGACTTTTGGTATTTTGTGAAAAAATTATGATTTGCATTAACATTTCTATGTATTTATATTACCTGCCTATTTATCACGCTATTTAATACAATTTTTTTTCCCAACAAGAAAGTTAAGGCTAATATGTCATTGTATTGAGAATTGAGAATAGAACAAATTTTCAGTTGCATCATCCCACATGCATTATGGAATTGAGAATAGAACAAAATAAAAAGTGCTGCAATGCAAATAAGTCAAACAATTAAGCCATTCGACAGTCGGGAGTAAACATAAGGTCAATACTTCGCTCGACCTCCATGGCCGAGCAGGATGAAAAGACCACAGAGGTCCAAAGGCGTTGTGGTCGAGATGAATTGCCACTTAGTTTTCACCAGGTGATGACAAGGGACTTAATTACTTCAGTTGGATGCATTAAAAGTTACTTTTTTAGAAAGTAAAAATCACGACTCATTACTAGAAACAACTTTTATCAACGTCTGAGAAAAAGTAACTTTTACTTCTTTTTAAATTTAAGTAAAAACAGGCATGACGACTATGAAATATTAAAAATGCAGTTGAGTCCCAAGTTGGATACGAACGAACGAATCATCGAGTTAAATAGAAACAAAAGCAATATTGACTTATTAAGAAATTAGTGTACTCATCCCCAAGAGTTCCGAAGTCACTCTCATTGTAACGCATGCAATCTTGTTAAGTTGACTTTTCAATTGAACCAACCCTTGCAGCATTATCTAAATTTATTTTGAAGTTATCCTTTGAAAAAAGTAGGGTTCATTTGGTTTTTGCATCAGTTTTCAATTTTGAGTACATCTTTAATTTTTTATTTTTGAAAAGTATTTGATTTGTCATTTTGAAAAATTGTATTTTTGAAATTTTATTTCATTGAATTTGATTATTTAGTAAAATAAAATAATTTTTACGTTAATATATTATCAAGTAATATACACATTTTAAAGTTGGTAAATCTTATAATATTTTTCCCGCTATGAAGTAAAATAAAAATAAATAATAAATTAAGTTGACAACACGTAGAAAATTTAAAAAATAAAAATAAAAAATTCAATGATGTGGACTGAGAATTTTTACATGTGGTCATTTAAATATATCTTTTTAAAATTTTTATTTAAATAATTAAGAGCTTGAACTATTTTTATTTTTTATTTTTCTATAATTTTTAAAATTTTACTTTTTCAGAACTTTTATTTTTCTAGAATTTTTTTTTTCTTTTAAAAATTTATTTTATCAAAATTTTGATTTTTTTCAGAATTTTATATTTATTTTTTAATATTTTTTTTAGAATTTTATTATTTTTCATGTTTTGATTGTTTTCAACTTTTCACTAAAAACGCTCGAAACGTTAAAAATAAGTTTTGACTTTTATTTTATAAGTTTAACTTATTTCCGAAAATGCATTTTAAAAAATAGTAGACTAAACAAATTCTTGATCTTTTACAAAACTGTAAGCCACTTAAAATAATAAATCAAACGCCTCCCATTTTCGTGAGAGACAAACATTTGTGTGCAAAATGAAAGTGTGTGGAAAGTTGCCAAAATTTTCAATTTAATTGACCATAAAATGTACGTCGAAAAATTGTATTGCCATCCTCTCAGTTTCACACACTCCATTTCTCAATCGATGCAAAATGTATTAAACAAGCACGACAAACGTTATTAATGGTTATTTGGCATGACTTTCAAAAAGTCAAAAACTACTTCTGAAACTAAGAAATTACTTTTTTTTGCCCCAAATGAGCATGTAGGCGATTATCTATTTTATAAAGCACATAACTAAGAAAGTACCATAGTTTTCATTGATGTAGGATACTGTATACACTCTCTTTCGATAAAGAAATCTGGATTATTTTCACAAACAACGAACAAAAGGGGTTCTTAATTACCTTGCTATCGTGATTTAGTAGGTAAAAAGGACTCTTAGACAGATTACTTCGAGTCAGTAATGAAATTGATCTCATACCCACAGTGGACAGTACACGATAAAAAACTTCTAGTGAGTAAACCAAGTTCAAATCACGCAGAACTTTTCAAATATTGCCTCCACATCGACAAATTATTAATCCGATAACATATGGTGAAGATTCCATATTGAAATACAGCGTACAAAGAGAAACCAAATACTGATTTCAGACAAGGATAGACTACGAAGAACGAGTAGCAGAGAGTTTAAGACATTCACTTTGACATCTACGGAGGCACACATCGTTCCAGTTGGGGACTTGATGTTGATTGACACAGACCGTACGAGCACAGGCATCAGAACAAGCATCAAGCTCGGAAACGCCACAAACTGTAACGCATGTATCCGGGATTGGATCCTTGGAGAATGCGCCGACCTTCTTCAACATTCTCTTTGACGTGCAAACTCTCTCGCACACAAAAATATCATCGGCATTCTTTTCTCTGCCCCGAGCACTTTTGATTCTTTGCTCCTCCGTGCGCTTCCTCTTTAGCCGGAAAGCTTGACCGGCAACAACAGCAGGAATAACAGCCCCGAGCAGGGACCACCATACCTCAACCATTATTCCTACAGATACAAAGATTGTTCTCTTTTCCAAATGTTCTGCTTAATAGAAAAAAATAAAAAATATATATGTGCAGCTCAGGATAATATGAAAATGTAAAGTTAACATAACATTATGGACATTTGCATAGCAAAATCTTCGACATATTTCAACAGATCATACTGCTTTAACATAAAGAGAGGATTGTGTCATGAACAAAAGCGCAATAGAGAATTTCCATAAATAAAAAAAATTAAGATTTGTACCAAGCAAACAGGAATCTAATATTATAACATTCAATTGCAGAAACAAATTATGGAATTCCGAAATATCACAATCCATTGCTTTTGGGAGGCATAACAAAAACATGAGACCTATCTTCATTTCCCCACTTTTTGTATATACTATTACATTTCTACGATCACCAATAGGAACTCTAATTCTAATCTTGATTGCATAGTCTTAAAAAAACGCCGCCATTAAGTAATATAGATCCAGCAAAGCTTAGTGCATCAACCAAATTGAAAAACCAAGCATAAACTCCATTACACAAAATGGAATGGGAAAAAAAACCCTCACTTAAAATTGCACAACACAAAATGCACAAAACAAAAAGGAAATTGAACGATTTGGAATTTAGCGTAAGTGAAATCGAATACCCAAAGCAAATGACTAGGTATAGGGATTTAGATTTAGGGCATACCGGCTAGGCAATAATTGGCGTGCAGACAACTAAGAAAGAGGCCGGAGTGGAAGAAAAACTACACAATTGAAATCGCTCAAGAGGGAGAACATAATTTGGGCTGGGCTAGGTCTGCCATTTGGGCCTAAATTGAATAGGCCCACGTAATATATAACCGGATACTTTCACAAATATACGAAAAAAAAATAAACTATTTCAAAAAATATTGTTTTTAACTTTTTTATTACAAAAATACTGATTGCAGCACATGTTATCCAGAGTTTTTGTTTATATAGAGAGTGAACCTTCTGGAATGTTTTCAGGTTGAATTTGCATGAATAATGATCTTGGAAATTGAATTGCTTAATTCTAAAAATTTGCCTACTTGAACTGAATGTTGTTGATGTCAAACCAGTCTCCATGAAACATGCTAAATGACAACTTGATCTATAGGGCATGTCAAAGACTCAAAATGTGTCACACAATCGAGGCTAACAATTGGGCACGTGAAAAAGCACATCCTCAGCCTAGCCTAGCACAGACCTATCTCTGGAGCAATGTTCTAAAAGGCGTAATGTGTGACGATATGTGGAGGCCAAGCCCAGGGCTAAGCAAGCTTAGGCGAGGTATATGCGTGAAAATGCGTTTTCTTATTTTAATATTTTAATTTTTAATCAATTAAAAATAATACTTACTAAACATTTAAAACAAATTTATATGAACTTTATACATTTTTTCAAAATTTTCAACAAAAATGCAAGTTTCAAATTTAAATACAAAATAGTAAGAAATTATCTACCGTAGTCCGTAAATAAGATTCGTTGGTCACTTGACTTTTGGATTCAAATGGTTGTTTTAATTTTAAATTAGAGCAAACTGAAGAAATTAACATTTAATAATTTTTAACTTCAAAATAATTGTTAAAAAAAAAAGCGCGCCATTAGCGGTCAACGGCAATTGTTGACCGCCAAATAAGGCGCTAACCCATTAGGCTTAGCGTTTTGACATCGTCTCATGTTTAGATGCGCCTTTTAAAACACTGCTCTAAAGTCGAGCTATGTCATGCTTGGCTATAGACCTGCAGTTCCTTGTGATTGGTCTATGCAAACACATCTCAGTACTAAAATTTCCAAAAATACTATAAAAGATAAATCCGGCAATACTAAACCGTGCTGAGGGTACAAGACATATCGAATGGTTACTATGTACTTCTGTATGCAAATAATGTGGTCATGGATCTTTTAAGATCGTAAAGTTCTTTATTCAACTTCTGAAGTGAGAAAGACGAGCCAAAAACAACTCATATTTTCCAAAGAAAAAATAATAAACATAAATATCGAATTTTTTCCTGGTTTGAAATCATGAAAGCTTCATTTTTCCTTGTATGTACATGATTTCAAGTTCAGTGCTTTTCAGATATCAAGTAACACGTATGAGTAGTACAACCATGATAAAGACACAAATCATTACAAACATGGCAAGCCATGTGGTACACGATGTCTTGAAACTCTGCGAGTATACCTCCATTGCCCGAGTGTTGGCATGTCCAGTGCTCGCCAAGCTCTGCTCGACTG